GACCTTAACAAGTGGAAGTTTTAGCGCTGCAACATTAAGCTACCTTGAAGGGCAATATTAAAATTGAAAGTAAAAATAATAAGAGATAATCAAGAATATTAAAATAATAATAATACAACTAATTGAAGGGCAATATTAAAATTAATGATCAGTAAAAAAATCTATTTCAAAATGATTAATTACACAAAATAGTTTTCTGAAGATACAAAGGAAGATATTTTGTCTTTTAAAATAATATTTGAAAGTATGCTGACATAAAATAATGTAATGATGTAAGTTGTAAAAAAAATTATAAGAAAAAACTAATACAAAAAACAAACACAACTATTCCACAAATAAATAGAACAATGAAATCAAATCTACAAAATAAAAGTTCTAAAATAAAAATCTATAAAATCAAGCTTTAAGATTAGATTTTAAAGAACACGGAGGACAATTAAAAAATAAATAAAATAGGTATTAAATTTGACCATTTTAGAGCATAAAAAGAAAATGCCCTTTTCCTAATGTATGCAAGTGCAATGGATAGATAGGAAAGATATAGGTTACAAGATTAAATTAAAAGACCGATACTGTGGAGCCAACCACACAAAACCTTATATGCAAGTAAATGTATTTTAAAATACGCACAAAACCTAACGAGATTACTTGTCTATCAGGGTTCTATCTGCATAATTCTGAACATGCTGGAGTTTGTCAGTGTTGATTTTAAGACCACATAACATTGCAAAAGTAGATACTTTGTGGAAACATATTTTGTTTTGTTTGGAAAGTTAAGTGTTTTCCCTGTAAGTAATACAACACTGACATTTTAAATCTAGAATCTCTTTCCGTCGTTCAAAGCTGTACAGTAGCCACTTTTCTGTCATAAATCGCCTTGTGCTCTGTGGACAAGCCGTAACGTAAACTTCTGCTCGCTATGATCTGAAACAGCACTCTTACATGTGACGGATAATTTTTTTGTTTCATCTGAGCTTCAATCCCCCAGCCTGCAGAAAACAAACAAATACTTGTGATTATAACTGATGGGTCGGAAACTGTAGAGCGACTTGTTTATTTTCAATGAACGAAGCCAAACGCCATGCACATTTCCTTGTCTTGCCATTGTGGATGAGGCAAAACATTACATTGTAGGTCTGCGTTGTTTCATTTGTGTTTCAGTTGTGTTTTAGTTTGAGGGCAATTACGTTCTCTTGATCAGCAGTGATTAGGAATGCAGCGCCACGGTAATTATCATGGCAAAACTAAACAAAAGAATGCCTCATTGGATGACTTCTCTATGGAATCTAAAACATGTTGTTTGTGTGTCTCAGAAGAAAATTACTTTTGCTTTTTTTATATAAAAAAATGTAATTCAATTAAAACATTCATTTAAAGTATAAGGAATATGTTTTTTATGGGGACACATTACACTGATTTTGTTTACGAATGTGTTCACACACGCTCACACTATCCTGACGCAGATGCCACCAAGTTCTTTGTAAGAGCGTCACCAGGTCTCTCTCTCTCTTTTTCTCTCCCTCTGCATTCCCTTCACTCTGTATTACAAGCTTCTGTTTTCATCACGTAGACTCGCATAACGTAGATCTCTTCATCGCTCAAAAATAAGGATGATATAACTGATATATGTAATATAACTAAATAATATAATACAATTTACGATTAATCGCATCTAACATAAACGTTTTTGTTTATAAAATATATGTGCATATACATAATATATTTAGTGTATATATAAATTAGATATATGTGTATAAATACACACACATATATATATATATATATATATATATATATATACAGTATATATATATATATATATATATATATATATATATATATATATATATATATATATATATATATATATATATATATATATATATATGTATACACTCACCTAAAGGATTATTAGGAACACCATACTAATACTGTGTTTGACCCCATTTCGCCTTCAGAACTGCCTTAATTCTACGTGGCATTGATTCAACAAGGTGCTGAAAGCATTCTTTAGAAATGTTGGCCCATATTGATAGGATAGCATCTTGCAATTGTTGGAGATTTGTGGGATGCACATCCAGGGCACGAAGCTCCCGTTCCACCACATCCCAAAGATGCTCTATTGGGTTGAGATCTGGTGACTGTCGGGGCCATTTTAGTACAGTGAACTCATTGTCATGTTCAAGAAACCAATTTGAAATGATTCAAGCTTTGTGACATGGTGCATTATCCTGCTGGAAGTAGCCATCAGAGGATTGGTACATGGGCCTAAAGTGTGCCAAGAAAACATCCCCCACACCATTACACCACCACCACCAGCCTGCACAGTGGTAACAAGGCATGATGGATCCATGTTCTCATTCTGTTTACGCCAAATTCTGACTCTACCATCTGAATGTCTCAACAGAAATCAAGACTCATCAGACCAGGTAACATTTTTCCAGTCTTCAACTGTCCAATTTTGGTGAGCTCTTGCAAATTGTAGCCTCTTTTTCCTATTTGTAGTGGAGATGAGTGGTATCTGGTGGGGTCTTCTGCTGTTGTAGCCCATCAGCCTCAAGGTTGTGCGTGTTGTGGCTTCACAAATGCTTTGCTGCATACCTTGTTTGTCAGAATTGACCGTTCATATTTTTTTTCATAATGTATCTTCTTAATATTTCTTGATGATGATAATAATAATGTATTATACTATTTTATATAAAAATAAATAAAGATTTTTAAAGGATGTTTAGATATTTACTTGAAAAGTTGATGTTATTCAGTTGATGTTATTGAGTTATTGCACTATGTTAGACGTTTTGAGTTGCACGTCCAGAATCAGTGTACCAGAAGTCTCAATCTTGGATAGTTTGTTTGTATACCTGAGCATCAATAAAAGTGAAACTGGCATTTTACGCAAGTGTGTTTGGATGGATTTGACCTTGAGCAAGTGTTCCCTATATGCTAGTCTTTGTTTTTTTATCGAGACTGGAGGAAACGTATAAGGTCTGGAGGAAACGTATAGGTCAATTATAAATGTCCTTGATGAAGAGTCCTTATGACCGGTTTGAATCACAGTGGCTATCATTACAAGTTTATCTTTACGATACAAACTTTCCCAGGCACTGTTTGTGTGGCTGATAAAAGTCATGTTCTATCTTAGGACACAATCCTAGTCTTGATGACATGAATGGATCAGCCTGAGTGGTTGCTGTAACGACAGGACCGGGGCAGAGGTGGCTGGGTTGTAGAAGCACCTCTCTTAGGTCAGGGTCAGAGTTGAAAGGTCACAAATGGCTGGCTGTATCCACTCATCAGGTCAGAATGGAAACCGCATTGGATACCATAAAACCGTATCAGGGCCCTATCACAATGACTGGTTGAAATCCAATAACCGTCAGCCTTGTCCCCAACGCACAGCACTGATCGTTAAGGCTTTTTGATTGGGGTCATTGCTTCCTTTAATTAAAGAATAATGCCTTTCCCTCACCCATCGAACATTCATTTATCTTTGTAGTGAAAATGTATTTGTGTGCTTGGTTGATGACAGCTGCTACTTTCTCCTGACAAAATATCCTAATGCAGTTTCTCCCAAAAATGTAATCTAATGGACTTTAGTTGGCTGTTTAGTCTGAAAAAACACCTTCCTGTTTTCCCTTCATACTGCACAATTTTCCTTTCGACTTCAGCCTGGAACTTTTTTTATTTTCCCTGTCTTTTTCCATCTTCTACAATGTAATTGTAATACAATGTACACCCAGAATTAATTCAGTCGATATGGAATAAAAAACAAAACAAAATAAGAAATGGCATTTTATTCAGTTTTTGTAAAAGTAATGCGTTCTTCTATCCCAAATTTCTCTGTTTTTTTTTACTGTGGCACTCTCAGAACATTCTGTTGGTTTGCTCTATGCTGTTTGGTTGAGACTGGACTTGACCAATTGTAGATGGGTAAAGTGTCAAATAGTTCCTTTTTGAAAATAATTATTTAGCAATTCCGTTTGTTAATGTGAGTGGTACAGAATTTACAATCTTTTCCTTCAACTTTATTATTGGTTTGCTGTATTGGCTCTGTTGAAATTATGTATATACTGTAGATGGTTTGGTAAACTAATGGTGAGTAATGAGTAACCAAGCGTAGCTTGCTGTCTGAAAACTGATGTAAGATTTACTTAAATATGCTTCCTTAAATATTTATGCTGGAGATTCCAAAGTAAAATGCATATAATGTGGGAATTAACAGCTGTTATAGTGAACAAAGCCTCTGCAATATATAAAGGCGTACACATATTGACATTTTAAATTTTTGTTTAATTTGGTTTCAGGCTCACTTTTCTTCTCTCAGAGGATGGTGAAACATTTCCTTCCTAATAAGCAAGTAGATTTGCCCTGTTTCGTTTTCATTTATGACCTTAAAAAATATTGCAGGGTATTAAAAAATAAATCATCATCATTATGAAATGATTGCTTGTGTTGCACCTCTACTTAGAAGCACTCTCTGTTGGCCGAAACAAATGAGACATTAGGGTCGGACCGTTACCCTCCTGTCTCCATGATACAGTCTTGAAAAGAGCCCTCGAGAATACACAAGCGACTTTGTACATACTCATGACCTGGTTGTTATTATTATTCTTGAGACGATCACAGGGAAGTGTTGAAAGGTTGGCGCAGCTGTGAAAAATGTCAATGATTTGGTCTCGCTCCTAGGCTATTAAACATTACTGAAAGCTGTGGTTTCAGGAGTTGTTTAGACTAACACCTTTTACAACAACCGGGTGAGACCTGTTAAAGTTTTTGAGGGGTGTGCTTGGTTAAAGGCAATCTTGAACATTGAAGATACATTCTAAACATGTTAGAGGCCCGTTTTGCTTTCTTCCATCCTTCCCCAGTGATCACATCCTCTGTATGAAGTTTGTGGATGATGATGAAGCTTGTTTTCTGATATTCTGACTAAACCCAACCTTCCTCTCTCTGCTTGTTGTATGCATTGTGTGTAAAGTCTTTTTTATTTCTCTCCACAGGAGTGGCAGAATTCCATCCAAAAGAATGCGGGTTTGGCCTTCATCGAGCTTGTGAACGAGGGCAGGTAATTATCTAATCCCATCCTCTGACCCTTTCTTAGCCACCTCCTCATTATCTTCTGGCATACAACGCTATGTTGCGTGTGTACGATCAGATCCTGTTTGGGAGGTAATCGATGTAATGTGGAAAGGGGATCTACAGGGTGACCTGGAGTTCAAGGCGTCTGTCAATAACTTGGCTTGTTCCCATATGTTTCTGAGAGGGCAGCAGCGCCTTAGTTTCTTGTCCACCTCCTGGGAAATCGTTCTCGTATCTTGCTGTTTTCAGACAGGTTTATGTCTCATCTTTTGGACTCTTTTACTCAGACACCCTTTGGGATGGAAGAATCTCTGTCTTCAATTTCAAGCCCTTAGATCTTTCAGATGGCTCTCATTTGTAACTTAGCAATGTAAATTAATGTTAATGAATGCTGCCGTGCTGATGAGCTCTCCAGAAATGTTAATGAATTCAGTGATGCGCTGAGGCTCTTCCACCTTAACTGCTGGCCATCTTTACAGCTCTTTTTCAAACACATGCTTTTCTTTTGGAAAGTAGGGTCAATGTTTAGACAACATCTGGCACACCAGCACCTGTCATAGAGATATCACTGTAATCCTAGCTCTAAAGTGCACATCGAATATGCCATTATAATGCTTACTGGACTAAAATTATGATCATCAATACTGATTTACAGTAGTCACAGTGTTTTCCCAAAGTCAAGTTGAATTCTTGAAGCTCAAAGAAAAGAACTTAAACGAATACCAGTGTTGGGCAAGCTACTTGGAAAATGTAGTAAGCTAAGCTAGCAGTTACTCTACATTAAATAAAGCTTCACTACACTGAAGCTACCGCCCTGAGAAATGTTGCAAGCTAAGCTACATCAACAGTGCAAAAGTACCAACCAACTTCATTCCAAGTCAATGTTATCTCAGTGATCAGTAAAACTGTCAGTCAAACAGATAGGCAGGCATAATTGTTCAGTTCAATTGTTTATTTAACAACTGTTCCAAACCAATTTGGCTACAATAACAAAACCGCAACTATATAAATCCATATAGCTATATAAAACCATAACTATAACAAAACCAGGTGTCGAGAGTTTGTGCATCTTTCCATCAAGTCTTGCGTGTCAGCCCTAGGATTGTTACGTGATGTCACCGTCCGGAGCAGAGGGTGGTTGTAATGCACCAAAAAGCTAGTTGCCAACTGCCATAAAACAAAGAAGTAGTAGTCTACGATAGGGTTGTGCCGATAGACGATATCATCGTCCATCGTGATGGCTGACAGACTCATTATTTATTAAATTTTTTTTAAAAACACAGCTTTCGTATTGCTCTCACGACTCTCAAAGTCATACTCCAACCGGTCCAATTTAAAACGGTTTAATTTGGCGTGAGATTTACTTGGGCAGCGTGAAAGCGTGTGCCTCACGCCATGATATTACCATTTGTATAATCGATAATCTAATCTTTTGTTTGTTTCTCTAGATTGTCATATCATAAAGTAAGTCAAAACAGATAAAGAAAGGAAAGAAAGCAAAAGGGTGATAGAATGAAGGGCAGTCACAGAGAGTGGGCTGTGTTATTGATGGCAGTCGGGGTGAGAGGGGTGGGAGAGGGTCACTGCAGAGTCCCTGGCACGTCCGCTCCCCCGCTGCCCGCCGCTGACACACCAGGCTCGAGTTTCAGCCCTCCACCCTCCGCCTGTTATTCTTCCACTTTGCAGAGGCCTAAGCCTCCTGACCTGCTGAGATACTCATCTCTGTCCCTGGGGGGAATGTTTTATTAGGCCATGGCTTGTGTTGTTCACAAATCTGCCCGGGGTGTAAATGTGCTGTTTCAAGATCAGGTTCCTCCCTGTCTGTGCTAACCCGGGGCACCGTGGTTAGGAAAAACAATGCTGATTCACAAACAAGACTCTGAGATGGAAAGAACAGCTTCAGGTTTTGATGAGGGTTGACAAACAGTAGCAGTAAAACCAGGATATGTCTGATCTCCCATCAGCCCCTATAATCATCAGATGTCCTGTGATAAGAAACTGTGTGTGTGTGTTTATCCAAAGAAGGCTGTTCTTACATATGTAGAAACATGAGCTGGGGTGAGACGTGCCCCTTCTCCACACCCCCTACATCCGTATCTTGTTAGATACGTATCATTTACAAATCAATCGCTGGTTGTTTTAGTGGGGGTGGTTTTTAGCTGCCGTGCTAAATATGATTTTCTGCTTGTTTTACATGGTGTAGTTAAGTGGGTTTAGCGTACTATTTACACTTTGATGGCCTAACAACTGTGTTATTAAATCAGCAACATTTATTTCACAGATTAACAGTTGAGAGACGTGGAAGATATCCTTTTACTATTTTGTAGGCCAACATCTTTCATTGTACATTGGAATTTATATCAGTATTCTTTAATATGGATGCACGATATACCAATACAACATAATTCATCGACGATATTGGCAGAGATTATTATTAATATTTATTGTATCGGCCAATATTGGTTGTTTATCAGCTTATATTTATTATTTATATTATATTTATTAACTTTTTTTTTTGTATAAAGTAGTATAGATTTATAATATCAGCCATAGTATGAAAATAGGTATTGGCTTATTTGTATCACAATTTCACTATAGGTGGATCTGTTATGTCTGTAAATGATTTCTGTTGCATCTCTTACGATCAGTACATTTTTTTTAATAAATGTAAAAATACATCTGTGATTTGTTTTCCGATTTAGTTTACTCGGATCTGTATGAAATGCTAACTTGGATTCAGTTATCCTAGCAACACAAACTGCATAATTATTGAAAATAATTCAGACAGAATCATGTGATGTCGTGTATGAACTCTTAATGTTCAATGTGTTTTTGATGTGCAGACTGCTGAGCCACACCATGAAGGACCATCTGGTGCGTGTAGCTAATGAGGCCGAGTTCATTCTGAGCCGCCAGAGAGCAGAGGACATCCACAAACACGCTGAGTTTGAGGTGAACACACACACACACACACACACACACACACACACACACCCATGAAATGACTTGATTGACACCACTAAATATTGCCCATGCTTCCTGCACTATTAAATGGGCCAAAAATACTGATGACTCATGTTGCAGTTGTGAAGCTTTTATCTTTAGCTTACTAATGCTGGATTTATTTGATCAAAAATACATTAAAAGCAGTAATATTGTGAAATATTATTATATTTTAAATTGTTTTTTTTTTAAATACTATATTTTAAAATGTAATTTGTTCCTGTGATGGCAAAGCTCAATTTTTAGTGTCTTTAGTGTCACATGATCCTCCAGAAATCATTCTAACATGCAGATTTGAGGCATTTCTTATTTTTAGCAATGTTGAAAACAGTTGTTCTTCATAATATTTTGTGGAAAACTTGATACATTTAGTTCATGATTCTTTGATCAATAGAAAAATTCAAAAGAACAACATTTATTTGAGAGAGTTTTTTTTGTAACAAAGTAAAAGTCTTTAAACTTTTACTTTGTCTCCAGACTTTTGACAATCAAAAAAAAAAGGACAATCCCTTCAATATGTCCTGCCCCAACTTACTGTTTCAACGGGAAATACATCAACTCAGGAAAAAAATGAATTTGTAAAAAAAATACAAATTGCAAGTCAATTCATTTCATGGGATCTTGAAGACTTCTGCTGCAGCTGAGTGAAGCAATAACTAATTTTTCTTGATGTATTGTACAAACAAGCCACTTTCACTTCATGCAGATGTATTCTGTTTTCAGGGTTGATTTACAATTTTAAAAAACTGTTGTAAGATTTAATGAAATTGTTAAGCCCCTGTGAGGATATTAAAAAAAGAAAGTTGTGTCTGTCGGAACTGAGAAGCTGCCAACGTGAGGGAGAACAAATGTTTTCTTTTCAAACACAACTTATATGCAAGAAGGTTTCAAGCTTTGGCTAGAGAGATTGCGTTTGGCATGTATCTTACCAAAACATAGCAGCACAGTTGATTTATTCCTTCTAGCACAGCCATGGGGCATTCCTCCACCGCTGCCCCGCCAAACACGCACACACATCACCTCTTTTATCACTGCAGTCTCGCTTTCTCATGCCTTCCATCATTCTCCATTTCTGTCTACCTGCTCCTTTCCCCCCCACGATTCCCCTCGGACTCATGTTCTGCCTGTTGTGCTCCCTTTGTGAGAGAATTTCACCAGAGACAGGAATACAGCACCTTCATTTCTATCTTCCTTTCGTTTCCCATCCCTCCCTTTAGTTCTGTCTGGCACTGGGGCAGGATGTGACAGTGTAAAGGCGGAGTGGGCTCTGCTCTGTTCAACATCTCACACCCTCCAGTTGTAAAACGTTATGCTTTCAGAAAGGTTCAAGGCAGGGTCTCTGAACTGAGACTATAATAGGAAAACATTTGAAGTACAGTATTAAAAGTAAACATGTAAAATCGGGGAAAGCGATCATGTATCTTGTCTGTGAGAGGTTCTGCAGTAGTCTGCTTTGTTAGGGTCATATGTGATTGGCCTATACACTTATTTTGGCAGCTGCTCCCAACTTCTCACTGTTTTTTGGAAAACAAAAGAGTTCTGACTCCCACACGTGATCCTCCAGTTGTCATCATCAGCTCAAAGAATCAGAATCACATTATTCGCCCCTGCAGGAACAGGAGTTGATTTTTTTTCCTAGTTGTGAGAACTAGATCAGTGGTTCTCAACTGGTTTGACCGTTGAATTTTGACCCAATTCAAATATATACTGTATACAATTATAAAATTATATTAAATTTGCTTTTAAAACCAAACTGTTCCACTTTACTTAACATACGCATAAATTGTAAGAATATGACTAGTACTGAATGATGATACAGTATAAGGTAAAGCTATTAAAGGACAAGTTCGGTATTTTACACTTAAAGCCCTGTTTTAAGATCGTTTCTGATGAAATAGAACGGTTAAGATTGAAATTTGGACACATGCTTCTGGCCCGCAAATTTTCGGTTTCTGTGGTTGCACCCCCCACCTCCACAATGGTTGCATAGGTGCACTGAAACAATCCTTCATAAAACGCATTAAACTTTAGTTTACAAAGACGTGAAACTCACCGAGTGGTCTGGGGTGTTCACTGATATGCTCACACAAAAATCGCTGCAAAAGATGCTTTCCAACAGGTTTCTAATGAATCAGTTGAGCCAATGCCCAAATCATTGTAAATCAGACTAAATTGATCATAGTTTCAATCATGGACTGAATCAGTCTGATTTAATCAGTCCCTCCAGGATTTCACCATTTTTTTGTGTGATTTTTGCGATCAAAATAACTGATTTTGTGGTGGTAATTTCCAGAAATTTGTGAAAAAATTTGCGATTTTTATATTTTATAATTAGGACATCACATTTACCATAATAGTATTATGTCAGATGCACAATAGTCATACATGACACAAATCACAAACAAAATGCATCAAGCTTGTTTATTTGGTCTAATCAAATTCTTTTTTTTTAATTGTGCTGTAGCCTATTGTTGTTGCTTGATTAACATTAACAACACTGACAACAGCAAGTAAATTAGGTTACTGTCACTTTAAGACCTACTACAGTAATGACAAACTTCCCAATCAGTTATTACTGATTGTTTTACGTAAATACTTGCCAAGATGAATATTTTGAAGCAATTGTAGCTATGTGTATTTGTTCAAGCGCTATAAAGAGAATTCAATATTCTAACTAGGCCGACAGGCAGTGACACTCAGTCAGTCAGTCACACACACACACTTGCAGTCAGAGACAGACTGTCACTCGACTAGCTGAAATTAGTTTTCTTTCACGATATACTGCGCTTTTAATAATTCTTTTTAGTACCATCGAGCATACTTTTTGTTATGTCATTCAATCATGTTAAACGCGTTAATAAGTTTGCCGTACTGCCCAATGAAAACCTGGGCGCTTATGTGAGAGGGCAGGAGAGACGCATTTTCTTTCGCCATGTTTCTGACAGACCGCTCAGGCGCTCGCAGACATCACGCGTGCGCAACATCTGTACCCACGTAAAAATGCATTGAAACTTTAACTAGAGATATTTCAATTGGGTGATTATAATTTAATGTTTTGTGAGGTATTTTTTTTTAATTTTTGTGATTATTTTGCGGTTAAATTGGAATTATGCAGGATCGCAAAAAAATTCGACATTTTGTTGATTTTGCGTTGTATTCAGCGATCGCAGAATCGCGAAAAACTGGAGGGACTGTTTAATCACTGAATCTTTTAAATGACCCACTCAATAAACCACAGTTTGTGTCCAACTCGAAATGAGCCGAGAACCGGAACATTTTTTGGAATGTTAATTTCAAGAAAAATCCTTATTTGATGTACTGACTGCTTGCTTATTTTTTTGATTGTATAACACATTATTAAGACTAATTATTTACCAAGGCAAATATAGTAAAAATATTACAATTTTAAATAACAGTTTTCTATTTTAATATATTTTAAAACCTGTGGTGCTCTTCGCATGTCGGTCAAAAATGACAGCATTTTTTCTTTTTTATTACAATGAAATTAATGTACTATATTTTAGTTCGATAATGTTTTTTATTTAATATTTTTATATTTTTTAGGGGATTTTATTGTAGTAAATTATATTTACGCTGTATTTATAATTCATTTATTTACTTAGTATAGACCTGAAAATTACATTTCCAACTTAAACTGAAATTTTCAAAGTAAATCTTGAATGTTTTAGACCACCGACTTATGTTTGATCTCTTTTCAAGGACGACACTTGGCAGATTATTGCTGAAATGAAAATGGTAAAAAAAGGTGAACTTCAAAAAAGTTACAGAATTGTATGTTTATTGTTATGAAAAATGCACAAAAATACCATTTTCAATTTTTTTATGAAATATATATTTTCAAAAACATGTTTTACTCTAAAACTGAAAAAAAATAAAAAAAATCAAAGCCCATATTTGAGATTGAATCTAAAAAAAATAGCTTTCAGTAAGATTTTGTTTGGCCGCAGTAACAAGTTTTCACCAGATGAAATTTCACCGCATTAATTTCCAATGCGGACGTTATTGACCACGAGGAGCACAAGTGTGACTATTTTTTTCAGGACCATTTAACCTTTTCGAATCATGTCCATGATTTTTTTTTTTTTTTTTTTTTACATAGCAAGTGCCAAAACCTTTATCAAGTTTCATACCATGATTTTTTTGTGTGTTCACATAGCAAGTGCCAAAACATTTACCAAGTTTCGTACCATTCTGATGAAGTAATAAAAAAAAAAAAAATAACGTAACATTTTTCGGTCAAAAGTGACCGAAGAGCACCACCCCAAGAGGGTTAAATGTAATTTATTCCTATGATGGCAAAGCTGAAAATTTCAACAGCCATTCCTCTAGTCTTCAGTGTCACATGATCCTTCAGAAATCATTCTAATATGCTGATTTGATTGGGTCAAAAAAAAATTTATCATCTTATCAATGTTTGTAGATTATTTGTGCTGCTGGTATCCATGTGTTCATATGGGCTGGCATCTCACAAATGACAACAGATTTAATGACACAGCCATTACAGCAGTAACACTCAACACTACAAAGTGCCTGCAGGCATGTGCCTTGTACAACAGCTGAGAGCTGGCAGTGTTGGTTGAATATACCCTGCTTAAACAAGCTTCCTTACCTCACAGTGACATTTAGAGGGAACCTCGGAACACCCTTTCTCATCATTCCCGCTGCCCCAAATTCCCAGGATTGGCCAAATTCTCCCAGACGCTCCGTGGAAGACGGCCGCACTCTGGGGACATGCTTGGCTTTCCTTTTTTACTCTAATTGGCCCCTCTGGTCCGATTCTTTCTGCTTTTCCAGCCTCACTCACCGCACAGTGGAGAATGTATTATTCTCAGAAATACTACTGTATATTCTGCCAAATGTGGGGGGAAAATGCACAAATGATCAATGTCAGGCACATTAGTTGGATGCTAATAAAAAAATGCTAAACA